TCCTTTTTTTGACTTACGAGATATAAGTATTTCAAGAGTTTCAAGTGTCATCCACCAAAAATTAGTTTAAAAGCAGTTAATAAGTATACTGAAAATGGTCACAGTTGCCGGCACTAACACGAGATAAAACAAACATTGTTTATTTTGGGAGCTCTTTTTTGTTTCAAAGGGTATTTATTGTATGAAACTCGCCATAGATATTCAAGATTCCTACAAAAAATGATTTATTTGTCGGCGATACCCCGGGATAAAGCAAAAATCACAACAAAAACAGATAAGGGCTGCGAATCAATTTAGTCCAGGCTGATTTTTTCAGAGCTGATTGGATACTGTGTCCTGAGTCCTGAGTATTGAGCCAAAAAATCACACTCGAAAGCCTTGTGCGTTCGGCCCTATTGGCCTTTTTCTTATTTATTTTTTTTTTCGACAAAACGATCCTTATAAAAGTTGTAGATAATTACATTCTGATCAACTTTGCCTGACGACTTTTTCTGCTAGCTATTTTGGTTTAGGCGCTGCGACCAATTTAGTGCTCCGGAATTCGGAAAAAAATAAATAGCAAACCTGCAGGGTAAGTGCGGCTTGTAAAACTTAAACAAAAAAAAAAATAAAAAAATGTTGAATACAAAAGTTTTAGGGTTTTAGCTCTATTATCTTTTGCACCTGACACAACAGGCAAATGCAAGGTGCCAACTGTCATAATGACGAACACTTGTTTTTTTTTGGAGCACCCTGTATATTTCTGGCTAGAATGATTGATTTTTTACTTCTGATATTTGGTTCAGCTGTTTTTCCACTATTCAAGTTGAAAATTGCATTAAGCAAGCCCCACCATTATATATGGAACTGGGAACAGACCTGCTTTGGGTTAATGTGAATGCATTTTTATACTCAAATAACGTAGAAGCAGCTGAACCAAATATCAACATTTGGAATCAGAAAAAAAATCAATCATTCTAGCCAAAAGGAACAGACCCCTGCAGGTTTGCTATTTAATTTTTCCGAATTCTAAAGCACTGAAATGGTCGTAGCGCCTAAACTAAAATAGCTAGCAGAAAAAGTCATTAGGCAAAGTTGATCAGAATGTAATTATCTACCACTTTTATTGAGGTCATTTTGTCGAAAAAAGAAATAGATAAGAAAAAGGCTAATAGGGCCGAACGCCTTTTCGAATGGTGTGATTTTTTGGCTCAATACTCCAGGACACAGTCTCCAATCAGTTCTGAAAAAATCAGCCTGCTCTCGTAGAATTTTTTGATAAACCCATATATTCACAGGAATAAAGAGCATCAATCAAATTCATTTTGCGTATAGTATTATTGTATTGTTCTGGATTAAGTACTTAATTTCTTGCATTAAATAATTTATAGATGAAAGAAAATTGAAAAATAATTTTAAACATTGTTCACAACAATTTAAAACGAATAATTTCAAACCAATAGGTATATTCTTGTTTAAGCGGTTACCTGACCCGTGCCTCCTGACTAAATGCAGGCCGGCTGATAAGAAACATACTTTTGTGTAGGAATCTCGAATGTCTATGGCATGGCGGCTACTATACACAATTTAGACAGTTATCACCCTATAGGAGCCACGTAGGTATCCGATTTTCAATTCTTTGTATAAATGAACTTTGGCATAAATATTATTTGCAATAAGTCCACCAATCGTGGGGCAGATGAATTTTGTCGAAATCGGACAGGTGTGAAAATTCGCAAAGATTTTAAGAATGATTATTGGGAAGAGCCTTCAAAATATTCAAAAAATCAAAACCTGTAAATTAAAAAAGACAATTAGATAGTGGGCATATTTTCGAATGCCTACATTATAATGCAAATTGTTGGTGAATCTTTGCAATAAAATAGAAGTTGAACATGCAATTCCGTGAATGCATTAGGATTATTCAAGGTATCCACAAAAATATTTGTTTTAAATTTCAAAAGTTATCTGTAACACCAGTTCCCCGGAATTTTAGATTTATTTATTTATTCTTTGAAACGTGTACAAAACCTACTGGCTATAAAAATTTATGTTATTACATAGGTAATAATAAATATTGAATGAGATTTAATTTTTTTCCGACAGTTATTATGCAATCGGCTTAATTGAATTTTCTTTTTTATTGAATCTTGTACGTTTAAATAGACCCAAATGATAATTTTAAATTTAAATTGCCGTTTATAGGTACCTAATTAATTATTAATATCAAAATAGTATTCGCGAATCATCCTTTCTATTGTTCTCTGACTCTGTGGTATTTCAATTTCTTTGCGGCGCCCACCTATAAGTTGGCACCTTGACCTAGCTTCGGTTCCAGTTTGCACCTTTCGGTCTCCTATTATTCTTTATTATGATAAAATGACTGTTGGCATTTCGATAGGAATAATAATTATTATTGTGAAATGTGTAGCAGTAGGTATCTAAATAAAATTGAAAAAAAAAAATTGAATGTCTCTGTTTTGACATCTGGAAAACGAAAAAGACACATTAACAAATAGAGTTATTAGGCCATATAAGTACCCATCAGAGAGTACTCTCGGCAGAGCGAGGAATCTGTCATTGCTCGCGAGCAAAAAACCAGTCCAGACTGCCATCAGATGAAAACTCTGCTGACTCGTTTGTCATACATCATCAGCCTCTTTTTTCTTTGACGGGTTTTTGTCCTACCATCACAACCATCATGCCAATGGTGATTAGTACCATTTTATTTTCGACGAATATGGACAGGCGATGGGACTTAATATAATAACCAGGACCGGATTTTTATTATTTCATCACCAAAATTGTTTCTTATCATATGATATTTATTGTACTTTGACATAGATGACGAGGCTTCCGATAAAACTGATGGTGGATACTCGAAGAAAGTTATTTTGATAAGAACGACGATAAGACAAATTCTGGGGACAGGGTAAATTAAAAGCTACTATTAGTCAAATAATTAATTAGCTACTGATAGGCGCCATATAAAAGATAAACACTTGAGTACGAAACTACCTACTGTGTCAGTATAAAACACAACACACAAGTGCCGCATAATATGGTTTCAATAAAAGTAATATTCAGCATCATAAAAAGTTGGACTTTTTAGGCAAATTATGAAATAAAAAAACCCAAGTAAACCAACCTAAAATTTAAAAATTCTGACAATTTCAAAAAAACGCAGTTAAGTTTTATTAATTAGGTAGATACAATCTGTACTTTTGTGCCTCGCATTTTATTAGGAATTTCATTGAGACAAAATAGTGACAGGTTCTTGGCAAATGTAAACGTGCAGAAGTTAATGTTGTTCTTCTTTAGGTACAGGGTACACCACGCCAGCTCTGGTTTTTATTGTGCATTATAGGTTGAGTAATTGCCATTTGGGCACGTTTCATTAAGAATTTCACTGAAACAAAATAGTGAGAGGTTCTTAGGAATTGCATAGGTTTATTCGTAAGGACTCGAAGTTACTGCAGTTTTTGCTCACATTAGGGAAATTTTAGTTTTTCTGCCAAAGTATGCATTTTAAATTAAATCTTTATCCTTTCGACACGAATTTACATGAAACAAAATAATGAAAGATTTTTCATAGATAAATCTAAAGCTATTTTTTTGTGATTATAGGACTCAAAGTTACTACAAATTTTACAGCAAGCCTATTTATTTTTAACATTGAAAATGTTTCCTAGTATGGGGGCCCAAATCGCGAAAAAGTGCATGCTACATTTGCCACATGACGTCACATCATCAATCAAAATCAATTTTTATCACGATATGAATCACATAAACTTTGCATTTTACTTCATCAATTTCAATGTCCCCCCAATTGAATCTTTGCGAAGGACTGTGATTTTTTCTGGAAGGGTAGGTTAGGTACCTACGCATTTTAAATTAAATCTGCACCCTTTCGGCTGGAATAGGTTTTTTTGCTCAATTTATAATTTTTTAGTTACCTACTACAGTTTTTGTTTAGGAACAGCATCGCTGATTCCAATTTTTTGTAACATCACGCATTTTGAGAGAAATCTGTACCCTTTGGGCACGTCACGTTTCATAGGAAATTTCAGGTTTAAGGTTTTGCCTGAATTTTATACATAGGTATAAAAAATATAAAATTATAGGTACATTTAAAAAATTGAAAATAAATTGGAAAAATGTTCAATTTTTTTCAGAAACGCTAAAAAATTATATTTCAACTGCGTGATTCCAACAGATACCTAAATTCTGATTAATTGGCAAATATCCAAACAAGAACGGCAATTTCCTAACCAAGCATCTAGAAAATACAGTATTATCAAACTATTGCCGATAATTTGGGGACCTCACAAATTCTTGATGTCGAGGAAAAATGTTCTGAAGCATTATTCTTTGAAAGTTTTCTGCAATTTTGAGTCGATTAACTATCACGATATTGAAGGAGAATACCTACTTGGAACTTCTCTTGTTCTGATTTGAATCCTAAATTACAAAAGCAGGAGCGCGAATTTTAAGACATGTCTTGTTACAAAATATTTTTATCATAAAATATTATTAATGAGCTATTTTATGAAACGAAACAATTTTTTCTTTCCTGCTAGGTAGTAGTTGCTCCATATAATTTGAAATTTTCGAATTCAACTAATTTTTTAATAAAAACACTGTCGTTTTATGAAACCACAATTCATTCACGGACGCCATAAAAAAGTAAAAACCCAGCGTAATTATGTATCATAGCGGTTATCCGATTATTATTAGATAGCTAACTTAAGCATGGCACAGCACTGCCGCTAAGCTCTAGTTATCAATCTTATATTAAAGTTTTTTTTGTTCGACATTCTCTGCAAATTATATCTGACGAACAGACTAATAGTAATTTGAGGTTCAGTTTTTAGCTTAATTCTTAGTCTTAACAGTGCTCAAATTCAAATAACAATCTACCGATAAACCTACTTTTTTTTGGTTTTCAGATTGCAGATAGGTTCTGGAATCAATTTCCTAGAAATGAATGATTCGCCGATCGAAATAATTGGTTCACTTACTGATAATTTGGATAAGGGTTACAATCTTCATCTGAGGCCATCATTTGAAATATAGTTTATTTTATTTTTTACACTAGCTAAAACCTAATAAACAATCCTTTATATAATTCAAAAACACATAACACTAGATCACTATATTAAGAAAATAATATAAAGTACACTTTATCAGGTCAAGTTGGTACTTTATCCGACGGTAAACTGTCTCGCGAAAAAAGTACCCAAGACACGATCAAACAAGTGACGAGGTACGTACGTGAGGAGGTACCAGGTACTACTATCGCAGTCGACGTTTTAGTTTGGGTACCACCTCGAATTACCTGGGGGCTACCGGTGGAGCGTGCGCGCGCACTTTATATCCGATACCCACTTGTATGAACTTTTTTATTTTGCCTCTGATGGTTAATTTATTAACTAAAGCGGACATTCATTGACTTTTTATTCGGCTTACGCAAGAACCGCAAATTTCGAACTATTCACCCTGTATAATAGTTAGCTATCCTAATTACATGGGTGCATATTTGCACAAAACAATCTATTTTGGCTGAATGAGAATTAAAATTTTACGATTTTATGTAACCTATAGATTTTCCTTCAAAAAAAAAATCTTCCCATCAATTTGAACAATTGAACAATAATTATGATGATTAGGGTCCCTTCGCTCCTGCAGAACCATCCAGAAAACGTATTATCTACTTCAACCATTTTTGTTCTCTTGCTCTGGGTTCAAAATTTTTTGTTTCGAACTTGTGCTCTTTGTTCTCTACAGTGACTCTATTAAACCACAGTGGCGACAATTGCTGTAATATTTTTGATTGGTTCTTTAAAATCCTATAATATGGAAAACGTTGCCATTTTGTGCCCACACTAAATTTGAATATGAATATGAATATATAGGATTTAAATGGATATTCATCGTAGAAAACTGAAAACAGCGTATTTGATGACGATTATTATAGGTATATCAAATGCGTTTTTTTCGATTTTTTATTATGGATGTCTATTAAAATCCTATTAATTCATATTCAAATTTACCAAAGGGTGGGCACAAAATGGCGGCGGGACCTCTATTGTCGCCACTGTTTGCAAAGGTTTATTTAGCCACTGTATTGTTCTCAGGGTAGATACGCCATGTATTTATTTATATGTATATCAGGTCATTAATAAGAAGCCTGACGCACTTAACCTTACTATTAACAACCTACTGGATCTGCTCCAAGCGGATCTATACCCCAATTCTCGAAACACGAGACCTACTCTCTTGAGAATAATCACCATGTGCGTCTCCTGTTATGGGACCACTTTCATAAGCGACATGGAAATTTCGGAAATAGGAAACAATAAAATACGGTTGGGAAAAAGAAAATGTTTACCAATGTTTCTGAATTTCTTTGGGTCTGTATACCGGTGACAATAGAAACATATAACTAGTAGAAATATTTGTTTCTGCATCCGTGAGCAATAAGGAACCTGAAAACATTAAGAAACAAGCAAAGCCTTGTTTCCATCTGTTGTTTGCAGTGTGAGCTCTCCCTCCTGCAAGGATATACTCACTAAGCCAACCAACTTTTGCTACCTAGCTAACGGATCCTCAAGGTAGAAGTCTTTTGGTTCAGGAACCAAGTCTTGTGTAGCTACTGTTTCATATGGATGTGGGGGACGTCGAGCTGGAAGAGGGTTTATAATCTACAACTATTCATCTACAAGAAAAAAAAATCTATGGTTCTTGGAGTTTGTATTAGTTTTATTACAAAAGGATATTGTCTCGGCTTATTTTCTTTTGCACCTTCTGAATTTTTTCTTATATAAGCTCGTTGTATTGCCGCTTGTGCACCGGTTTTCAATTCCTCCGTTGCTAAGATATATTTCACTCTGTGACTGTGAGCGTCCTAGTCCTGAGTGCCCCGTTTCAGTGGTTCTGAAACTAAAATTTTGGCCGCCATTATCTTCAGGAAATCCTTAAATGGTTCTTGAAGGTCCAGTACTGGATGTTCCTTACAGGCCAAGGTGCATTTATTGCTTGTCAAGGCAAAGTATTTTCGAGTGCTGCCAGTCTTTCGATATGCGAAGTTGCCGCAGAACCTACATCATATGGGTCAGTTGTGGGCGGACGATCGTCTATTTTGTTTGTACCAAGTTAGGCCAGTCATTGCGGGGATCAAAAAAGGGCCACCTGGAAAACACTCGGGAAGTTTTGAAATTTTGCAGGTTTGTAGGTTTGGTTGTGTAGAACTAAAAATCACAAAATGCACAAGCCGAGACTTGCCGCCGGCGCCGTCAACTTGCCAAGATGGCCGCCAAAAATGGTTTTTCGCACTTCTCTCCAAAACTATGCGTTTTTCGAGGAAAATATGAAGAAAACAAAATTAAAGAGGAATAAATTTCATACTGCTCAGCATATTTTCCCTAAAAATAACCGTTTAGGCAGTAGTCTAACATTTTGCGTAAGTTACATAGATTTTCCAAAATAAGATGTGTGGTTGGGTTCCTCAAAACTACTTTTTAGGGCTTAAATCCAATTTTCCAATTAAATGATTAATCAAATAATTCATCACGGCGCGTTTTTTTTTCGTGGTTTCCTATAGGCCTAATACACTTTGTCAGTAAAATTTAAAATTACGTATAGTATCTGCACAGGCATGACAAACATGGTTCGTTAATATATCGAAGCTTTCATCAGTGAATATTATGTTTGTCTCTATTTTGAGATCATCTTCGGTTTCATTCAAGTCGTCTTTTACTCTTACTTCAGTTGACAAAAAAATATAACCAAGTCATCTTTTATCAGATTCGACCAACATCACTTGAGTGATATTTTCGCAGGTCTTTCAGTTGTAGACGCAGCCAATTATGGTGCATTTTAATCCTGCTTTCATGCATCCGTAGAATCTACCACAATTGGTTTCGCACAATAATAGAAGTAGTGCTTTGGGAGCAGGATCCTTTAAAGTGGTTACTGGGGTGATACCTATTGGGTTTTCTTCTAACCCCATTGGTCAGCTTATTTTGAACAGCCATACCATTGTTGTACTTGATGGTAGGTACGTAAGGAAAGCTGTCGTGCAGCTGCGCTTGTCGGTGGTATGTAAGGATACCAAATTCAATTTGTTCTTGCACTCTATGGATCGAAAGACACAGAGAATATCGATCTGGATAAATATCGATACCAGTGTTTTGTGAAGTCATCAGTAACAAAAAGTTAATTTAATTTGGCATCCTACCACCGAGAAGCGCAGCTGCACGAAAGCATTCCTTACGTACTTACCATCAAGTACAACAGTGGTATGGCTGTTGGCAATAGGCTGAAGAATGGGGTTGGAACAAAACCGAAACTGCTATCACCCTAGTTACTACTTTAAAGGATCCTGCTTCCAAAGCACTACTTGTATTTTTGTCATGTAAGTGCAAGACCAAAAGTCTGCGGATGCAGAAAAGCAGGATTAAAATGCTCCATGATTAACGGTGTCTACAACTGAAAGACCTACAACAAGGTCCCTCAAGTGATGTTGGACGAATATGATGAAGATGACTTGAACGCTCGATATTCGTTTGTGAATGAAGACGAATTAAATGAAACCGACGTTGATCCCGAAATAAAGACAAACATATTCATCAGTGAAAGCATCGATAGGAGGTCTGTTTCCACAGGAATCTCGAACGAGTCAGAGCATTTTTGATTCGTCCAAATAGCCAGCAACCAGTTTCCTGACTATTTTGAACCAATGAAATTCGCTCTGACTGATTTGTGATTTCTGTGGGAACAGACCTATTAACGAACCATGTCCGTTGGGCCTTTGCAGATGCAAAACGTAATTTTACTCACACAAAGTGAATTAGGCCAACAAGGGGAACCACGTTAAAAAAAAACGTGTAATATACCTCATGTGTGGTGTGGAAACAAGTACAGCATTTTTAATAATTGAAATTAATAGATCATAGATTGATAACAAGAGCTAATTGATGAATTAATTGGATAAAATATACGGCTTCCAAATAATCTTTCTATTTGCATTGCAGAAGCTACTGCTATGTATGAGGCTTTAAAGGTGGTTCTAAAAAAGGGCATACAAAATGTGATAATCTTGACAGACTCTTAGGGAGGAAATTTTAAAAAATGATATACATCCAAGTAGAGAAGATCTATCTCTAAAAACGAAAAGACTTATCTTAATTGCAAATGAAAATAGATCAATTATAGCTGTGGCCTGGATCCTCAGGGCACTGACCAATAGAGGGTAATGAAACTGTTGACAAATCGGCCAAAATAGGCACAACCTTAAATGCCCCATTAAAAATGGATCTGGATAGGTTAGACGTAGTAATTATTATCACAGAAAAGATAATTGAGGAACACAAACAAATTTTGGCAAGATTTCCCGAAATATAAGGGCAATTTTTACTCACGAATAGTGTCCTCCTTTCCCAAAAATAAATGGTTCATAGTTTTTGAGTTTGTGAATCGCAAATACATTACAACTATGATAAGAATGCGCAAAGGTCATTGCTTGACATATTCACATCTCTATAAAATTGATGATAAAGAAGAGCCAAACTGTGGATGTGGTTTGAAAGAGTCGTTGAATCATATTTTCCTACAGTGCCCAATTAATTTCATTCCAAATTTTGATGATATGGCTGAGAGCCCAGTCACCCTGTCACGAATGAGTTGGCAAGTTGCCCGTAAAGGAGCAGTGAGGATATGTTGAAAGGGTTTTAATGTAGCACTATCTTTTGAAGGAGTGAAATACTCCAATGTAGGTATCACCCGCACCGTATTTAATGTCGTTGTAACGAAAAATGTTCGAACTTGCTCAATGTTTAAATCAGATGCACTGCTTCACTAAACTACCTTGATGCTAAACTCAAATATTTTGGAAACCCGAAACGTCTCCCAATACGGTAGAAATAAAAAGAATTATTAGATACCGTGTTTCTTTATTTTCTTTAATCTATACCGCTAAATATGGAAACGTACAACCTGAATACAATATTCCTATGTGTAGCTTTCAGTGTGGACACACTCGAATAACTTCTGCTAAGCGAAACGCTTCCATCCTAATATCCTATTCCCATCCCATATCTATTATACATTTTCACATTCCAATAACGTAATTTTAATATTTCAAATGCTTATGTTATTTGAGGTTCAACAAGAAAAATAGAAATCCCCATAGTATAGAGGAGGCATTAAATGCAAATTAGGTCGATAAAAATCGCCTAAAAGGAAATCGAGTAAAGCGGAACTGGGCAAGGCAAG